GTGGCGCTCAACATTCAGGGGCCATTCCCTGCATCCCAACGGGGCCACAGGTACCTCTTGGTGGGAGTGGAGTTCCTCATACGTTGGCCTATGGCGTGGCCTCTGATGGACCAATCGGCCTTGTCCATCACTTAGGAGTTCGTACAGGGGTATGTTCTTGACAAGGGTGCGCCGGAACAGCTCTTGACTGATCAGGGGCAGAATTTTTCTTCCCGGTTGCTCAAGGAGGTCTGTGATCACCTCGCCCTACCACCCCCAGTCCAACGGGATGGTAGAGCGCTTGAACGGCACCCTCACATCCATGCTGTGCCACCACGTGAGTACGTCCCAATCGGACTGGGACCTGTTCATTCCGGGGGTTCTGGCCATGTATAGGTTGGCCCCTCATGCCTCGACAAGGTTCTCCCCTTTTTATCTAATGTACGGAAGGTAACCCGAGCCCCCGATGCACGTCCAGCTGGACCTGGGGACTTCAAAGAAGGGCTCTCCGGTGCCGGCCCCAATGAGGGTCGCGCTCGACCGGTTGCGCGAGGCCCGGCAGGTGGCCTTGGATAATTCGACCAGTCGGCAGGCGGCTACCGAGCGCTTGCCCAAACACCAGGTTGTCGGCCCTTCCATGGGAAAGGGGCCAGAAGGCGTGGCTGCACTGTCCCCAAGTTGGCAGGTTCCCTAAATTGCATCATCCTTGGCAGGGCCCTGTTGAGGCCGTGGAGGTTCCGCAGACCGCACTGTATCCGTATTCGGTTGGGTCGCCGCCACTGGATTGTGCACCCATCTCGGCTGAAGCGGGTGGTGCCGCCTGGTCTCTCTGACTCATCCCCACTTCTGGAGCGGCCGGTGATTGATCCGTCCGACAAGCCGGGCCGTATGGGTCATGATGGTGCGAGCGATGCCCTGCCCTTGTGTGTGCCCACAGAGCCCCCGCCAGTGACGCCGACGGCGACGGGCCATCCGGTGGATGTACCGGCGGCAGGTCTGTCTCCCACCGGTACACCGTCGGTTCCGACGGTCGACGCCGCATAGGGCAGTGGCCTGCCTTTCGGTGCACCGGTGGATCTCCCGCCAGTTGTGCCACTGGCGGCGCCTCACCCTACAAATGTGCCGGCGGACTTGGCATCGGCCTGTAACACCGCCGAATCTGACGGCTGACGCCGCGCGGGGGAGTGGGCCGACGTCACGCACGCGCTCAAGGGGCGTGCGGATTCGGTGACACAAGTGCGGCCCGTCTTCATCGGCCTCCAGCCTTTGTCGCCACTTTTGCGTCGTCCCGGGTGGTGTCTTTCTCTAAACTTTACCTGGTACCGTGCTACCTGAGACATGTCATGTGTGTTTGTTGTTGTTGCTATCTTTCTGTCCGGGTGGCCGGACTCCGCTCTCATAATGGTTGCAGCTGGGTCGGCTGATTTTTTTTGACGGGGGGGGGGGGTGATGTAGAGGAGTAGTTGATGACAACCTGTCACGCTCACCTCTGATGTGATGACGTCATGTCCCCCGGGGATACTTAAGCTGGAACCCGTGACGTGAGCGGGGTTGTCGTGGGAGCCCAGGAACGTGAGAGGGTGGAAGTCGGGACCCCGGGTAGGGTAACCTAGCACGAGGCTAAGGGTGGCTGGTTACCCGGCTGGCCGATGTTGGTTTAGCCCTCGGCCGGTGCAGTGGAAAGAGCCCAAGTAGTCCGGGTGCTAGGATTCCCAGCACCCTACCCCTGGGGAGGTGTATGATAGCCCTGTTTAATATCTGGAGTAAGCCCCTAATAAACCATAGGCGTAAGCCCCTAAGAAGACCTGCCTCCGTGTCGTCTTTTGCACCTTAACATATGTATGTGTGTGAGTGTGTGTGTATATCTGTGTGTGTGTGTCTATGGTGGAGAGCGATAGTGTAGCGGTTAGCGCGCTGCGCTATGAACCCAGCGACACGGGTTCGATTCCCGCTCATGGCAAACACCAGTGACGATTATCTGAACCGGCCCTGGGCCTCCCCTAGGTCGACTCAGCCTCAAATGAGTACTTGGTGTGGTGTATTGTAAATATCGCCACTGGGGAGACAAAGGCGGTCGGACGTGGTGCTGGCCACCCATCCCCTCGTGTACCGTTGTGGCCTTCATAGGTGCTCACTAACTGTGCTTGCCCCCACAGTCTGTTAAGGCTATATGGGGGATCTTTGTAAATTGTGTGTCTATGTAGCCTTAACAGACTGTGCTGTTTGCTAGTAGCACCTATGAAGGCCGGCACTGTGGCACACGAGTCGGTGACCAGCACCACGCCCGACCCGCCTTTGTCTCCCCAGTGGCGATGTTTGCACATCGCAGCAGGTACTCATTTGAGGCTCAGTTGACCTAGGGACTCAGGACCGATTCCAATAATCGTCACTGATGTTGGTGAACCGGTCATGGGCCTCCCTTAGGTCGACTCGGCCTCAAATGAGTTCCTGGGACGGTGTGTAAACATCACCACTGGGGAGACAAAGGCGGGCCGGGCGTGGTGCTGGTCCCCGACCCCCTCGTGTGCCACAGTGCTGGCCTTCATAGGTGCTACTAGCAAACAGCACTTGCCCCAACAGTTTTGTATGGCGACACGGGTGATAATTTAGGCTATACGAGGGATCTCTTTCTCTATAAACGTATCGGTATATATTGACACGTGTTCTTTTGTAATTAACTTGTTGCCTGTGTAGTGATGCCTTGGTCTGGCTGTCTAATAAACCTCTCAATATTAACACAGAATCCTAAAGGTGCCTTTGATTCTGAGAGCTTCAGGCATTAACACTGAACCCTAAGAATCCTTGCTGTGTCTGAGTCTGTATCACGCTGCCTCAAGCACTAATAATGAATCCTCAGAATCTCAGCCATAGCTTCACTGTGTAAAACACTCACACAAACACAGCATAGCAAGAGCATCCTCATTCAATAATACACACGTGTAGGGTTAATAGAGCTCATGTACTACTCCTTTATAAACGTGTGTGTGCTGTATGTTAACGTAGAGGTATTGCAATAGATGGGCAATAGTAATGTATGTGTAGTGGTGTTATGGGACAAACACACATCGTTTCCGGCTAGCACCCTTTGCTTACCTGTTGGGGGCTGTGGGCTTTGTATAAAAAGCGGGAGCCCGAGAGAGTTGGGGCAGTGTTCCCGAGCCGAAATTAGAAGACCCATTTGAAGACTGAAGTCTGGCTAGCTAGACCCTGGAACTCCTCTGACCTGCTGCCCTTCTCAGGGCCGGGCAGAGCAAGCCAGCGGTGTGACTCCAGAACCTCGGAGCTGATGTCCTTTTAAGAGCCGGGTCTGTGTGGCTGGTGGTCAAGACTTGCGCCTTGGCTGGGCCAGGTAGCCTCCCTTAGAGCCCTTAGCGGAGTACCCGAGAGCATAGGTGGATAGCCAAGTAGCCTATGGGTGTCTCTCTGAATAATAACGGTCGAAGGGGCCGTTACCCCTTCGAGTGTGAGCCGTATACGTTACCCTGTGTTGAGTTACAAATAAATAGCGTTGCCTCTACTTCGCCGTCTCTGTCATCGAAGAATCCACTACATATGTATGCAGTGATACACATGGTCAGCCACAGTAATACCCCAGTCTGGCTCTGTGAGCCTCGGGTATTAATCTTGAACCACAATAATCCTTAAGGTGCCTTCATTTGGGATAGAGTAGCCTCAATAATTATAAATGAATCTTGAGAATCCTAACTCTGCCTTAGTCTGGTTATGAGCCTACAGCATTAACAATGAACCATATGAATCACAACGGTGATGTAGTTTTTCGAGTCTGATGATGACATCCATCACGGAGAAGACTGATACTCATAGATTAATCTGCTACAATGGTTACTTTGGCCAACAGCATCCTCACTGGATAATGCACACGTGCAATATCAATGGAGTTCATGTAGTAGTGGAATACACTAGTGTGTGTGCTATATATTATTGTCTAGGGCATACATTACAGTAGTAATGTTGATATTTGCATGTACAGTGTAGTGATAGACAAGATTAACCAAGATTATCCCTTAGTCTTGCTCTGTGAGCCTCAGCCATTAACTGGGGAACCTAATAATCCTAAAATGCCTTAGTTTGACTCTCTGAGCATCAGGCTGTTGATATGAAAGCTAAGATTCTTAAACGTGTCTTAGTCTGGATATATGATCCTTGGGCATTACCAATCAACCCTAAGTTTATATACCCCATAATAGAGGTTTTTTGGGTTAGATCGCGTAAATATGTGTCGTTAAACTTGCCACCACCCGACACAGTCAACTAGTAAGGGTTGTCACGTTAACAGTACATGCCAATTTGTCAATAGTACAGCACACCGGTGTGTTGGAGGGCAAAGCCACAACATTTTTTAAATTGACATTGATCTCGTGATAAAACCCATTTAACGATATGAATCCTGCGGCCGCCTTTGTGTCCGCAGTCCTGATGCTTACAGGACGTACCCGGTACTCGTTTAAGCCAAGGGTTCATCTGAGAGAGGCTCAGAATTGGTTCTGAATCCACTCACAACTGATGTTAGCCATGGCCGTGAATCATGTGTAGGTGACCATGATTGTAGCTCAGTGCACACACCATCCCATCATCGTTGCACATCCGTACTCACTCTCGCTCATCTACACATACGCATACAAACAGACAATTACAAGACCCCCCGTATAGCCCAAACATGCTGTAGGGGCAAGTGTTATTAGCGAGTGGTACTTTAAGCCCAGTATGGAACATGAGGGGGTGGGTGGCCAGCACCACGTCAGACCGCCTTTGTCTCCCTAGTGGCAGTTTTTAAACACTACACCAGGTAGTCATTTGAGGCTGAGTCGACCTAGGGGAAGCCCATGACCGGTTCAGAAAATCGTCACTGGTGTTGGCTGTGAACGGAAATCGAATTTGTGTTGCCAGATTCATATTATTGCACGTTAACCACTATGCCACCGCTCCGCAACATACACACAAGACACAATTACACGCACAATAACACACATGCACACTTGGCAAGAGTCCGTGGAACTCACACATGAACGCCAGCAGGTTGACCACAGCTCCCTGCAGAGCGCTGATTGTGGTGATGTCTTCTTTCCTGGGAGATGAGGGTGGATCTCCCTTCTGAGCGTCTCTTCTGTGAGATCAGAACCAGCAGTGACACACACAGCCCGTGTCTTACACAGCATCATCACACACAGCATCAGCATACACAGCATCATACTACACATCACACACATCATCATCACCACACACATGATCATCAAACATCATCACACGCCATTATCAACAACAACAACCGCCATTCGCCACTAAGTGGTGGTGACGTCACCACGACGCTTGTGCCAGGCTATGTGCACCTTGAGGCCACGTGAAGTGTCGAACACCCGCTGGAAGGTCACGGGGCAGACCCAGGTGCCACGGGTCGACTGACTGAAATGACCGAGATGACTGGCTGATGTACCACCTGTGCTCCCTACTGTGCCAACTTGCTGTGCGTTAGCCACCCGCGCTCCGCTCATTGTTGTGAGCGTTGCTCCTCCGCCCTCTGTTGTTGTTGGAGGGCGACTGCCTCCAACTGCCCAGTAGCGTCCTTCACGAGCCTCCTCCACAGAGGCCGATCTTGACACCGCTGGTACCAGTCATCGGCAAGTCCACTCAGCTCCACATCACGTCACTCCATCTCATCTCTAGCCCCGTGCCGCACCCATTTAGCCCCCTCGATCCGGCCGAACAAAAGCTGTTTGGGCATGTGGTGATTGGGCATGCGGTGATTGGGCATGTGGGCTACATGGCCCAGCCAAAGCAGCCTTGCCTGCCGGAGGAGCTCACCGATAGAACTTTGTCCAGATCTTTCGAGGATTTGTGAGCTCCTTACACAATCCAGGCTGGTGGTTAAACCCAGGATTGATCGTAGGCAGGCTAGCCTAAATGTTTCTAACCGGTGGAGATGTTCCATTAGGGGGGTCGACATTTTGCAAGCATAGAGAAGGGAGGGAATGACTGTGGCCGAGAAGACCCGAAGCTTCGTGTGGAGCGACAGACCAGGTAGCTTCCACACAGCGTTATGCAACCGATGAAAAGATAATGCCGCTCGACTGATTCGGAGTGAGACCTCTGCTGTTAAACCGGAGCCGGTCATGAGCACACTGCCCAGGTATGGGAAATTCTCCACTCTCTCCACAACTGCCCCATCACCGATTGGGAGTTGTGGGGGTGGAGTGCACGGTGGTACAAAATACCCAGGCAGGTGCTTCGTTTTGGTGGGGCTGATGGTAAGGCCACACCTCTTAGTGGCACACTCTAGTTTCAGCAGCAGCGCCTCCAACTCCTCCTCTGATTGAGCCGCAATTACCAGGTCGTCGGCATACATAACGTGGTTGACCAATAGGGAGCCATCCCTTGACCGCATCCGGGCATTTATCAGGCTCCCATTGGGTCTGTACCAGATGGAAATTCCTCCGGTACAGCTACTGAAGGCTTCACGAACTACGTGGTCAAAATAGATGTTACATAATGTCGGAGCCAGAGGACATCCCTGTCGCACCCAAAGGTGTACAGGGAATGGCTATGACTCCCGGCCATGTAGTTTTACCTGGGCCCGCTCACCATCATGAAGGTCCTTAATGAGCGTGAGCAGAGGATCAGGGACTCCAAAAGCACGAAGAACCCAGAGTCCAGGCCTTCTGATGGTATCATAGGCCTTGACCAGGTCAATAAAGCAGAGATGTAGGTCTTGTGGGAATTCTCTACACCTCTGCTGTAGCAGACGGACAGAAAATATGGCATCTGTGCAGGACCGCCCTTTCCTGAAACCACATTGGGGCTCCTTAAGCCTCTCTTCAGCGTGCCTAGCAAGGTGATGTTGAATAATCCTTGCCAGGACCTTTCCCGGCACACTGAGGAGTGAGATGCCCCTGTAGTTGTTACAGTATGTGCGGTCCCCCTTCTTAAAGAGGGGGATCACCAGGGCATCCTTCCAATCCTGCGGAACCCGTCCAGTGGCCCAGACTGTTGTTATGATGTCATGTAGGGCAGTCTGCGCACAAACGGCACCCTCCCTCAGCATTTTGCTTGAGAGATCATCTCTGCCCGGTACCTTTCCTGGTCTCAGACTTTGGATCGCCCTCACTACTTCCTCAACGAATGGTACCTCAGCCAGCCACTCACAGGGGGTGGCTTCCTCCTTCAATATTTGAGGGACCGCAGCCTCAGCAGGGTCATCCTCACTTTGTCCCATGATGTTTTCTAGGCTGAGGGATTCCCCCTCCCCCAGGAACCTCACAGAAATGCTCAGCAAATCTGCAAACCTGTTCCTGGGGGTCGGAGATTAGATCACCGTTCTTTCCCCTAATGATGGTAATAGGTGTGGCGCTGCAGGCAACTTTTTTGATGGAGTTAAATAGGGATTTATGATTGTGGGCCATTGCGGCAGACTCCTTCTCTTCAGCAACCCGCGACCACCACCCATCCTTGCAGCGCCTCACGGCTCTCTGAACCTCTGAGTGAAGGCTGCAGTAAGCCTCCTCATTCTCTGACGTGGGATGCTGTAGACGTTTAGAGTGGGCCTGTCGCTTTTTCTCAACCATCCTGAACAGCTCCTCTGTCAGGCAGGGTCTCTGGGGAGGTCTGAACCACGTTCCCAAAGCAGCCATTGCAGCTGCATGAGCCACAGTCCTAAACCTCGCCCATTTACCCTGAACATCACAAACGGCAACATCGCCCAGAGCATCACAGCACAACATCATCACACAACCCTTGTCTTACACAGCATCATGCCACACATCATCACGCAACATCATCATCACACATCATCATCATTACTCAGCCCATGTTCTACACAAGGCGTCACCCCGTATGTTAATCTGTCCGAGTTCATGAGTTCCTTACCTGTCTGTCTCTTTCAGGTGAACCTGCAGGAGTCAGACACAGGGGGCGTGAGTTAGTTCACCTCGAGCCACGTTAACCACCCGGTGATTGGTAGACTTGATGAGGCTGCACTCAGCCATTCACGTGTCCTAGTATTGTTGGTTATAATCAAGACAAAGCCGTGGACACGTAAGGACTGAATGATTCTCATCAGCAAGGTGTGGCCTCTAAAACTGTTGCCACTCGGTACCCGATGTCATGGCAAGAGGCGTCCGTGGCACTTGACATCGAGTTGCAGTGATTGTGAACCAACATTCAAAATAATAATCCACTGCGAGCGTGAATTACAACCAGAGCGTGGCATTACCAGAGTCCATAGTTTAGCAGGGTTAACATTTGTTGAGGCAGGCAATCTCGGGATTGGTTTCAAATTTCGAAGAATCATCAGCAGTCAGTACAGAAATATGACTGGTTCTGGCTTTCCTGATGTAAAAGTCCTTCCGTGTTCAGCATTACTAATGGTTGGTATACATTTGGTAAAATGTATAATTTTAATGTAGTGTCAAGTGGCCTCAATCTGATGTACATTACAGGATGATGCAGTTACAATGTTGTATGCCAATGTCTGCATATATTACCAAACAATGAACTCGAGGGATTTGTGTGTTAATCGTTTTTTTATTATTTAGAAATTCAGCGGTAGTTTATATTTTTATTACAATATACAGTGAGAGAAAAAGTATTTGATCCCCTGCTGATTTTGTACGTTTGCCCACTGACACAGAAATGATCAGTCTATAATTTTAATGGTAGGTTTATTTGAACAGTGAGAGACAGAATAACAAGAAAATCCAGAAAAACGCATGTCAAAAATGTTATAAATTGATTTGCATTGAAATGAGGGAAATAAGTATTTGACCCCCTCTCAATCAGAAAGATTTCTGGATCCCAGGTGTCTTTTATACAGGTAACGAGCTGAGATTAGGAGCACACTCTTAAAGGGAGTGCTGCTAATCTCAGCTTGTTACCTGTATAAAAGACACCTGTCCACAGAAGCAATCAATCAATCAGATTCCAAACTCCTCAACATGGCCAAGACTTAAGAGCTCTCCAAGGATGTCAGGGACAAGATTGTAGACCTACACAAGGCTGGAATGGGCTACAAGACCATTGTCAAGCAGCTTGGTCAGAAGGTGACAACAGTTGGTGCGATTATTCGTAAATGGAAGAAACACAAAAGAACTGTCAATCCCCCTCGGCCTGGGGCTCCATGCAAGATCTCACCTCGTGGAGTTGCAATGATCATGGGAACGGTGAGGAATCAGCCCAGAACTACACGGGAGGATCTTGTCAATGATCTCAAGGCAGCTGGGATCATAGTCACCAAGAAAAAAATTGGTAACACACTTCGCCGTGAAGGACTGAAATCCTGCAGCACCCGCAAGGTCCCCCTGCTCAAGAAAGCACATATAAATGCCCGTCTGAAGTTTGCCAATGAACATCTGAATGATTCAGAAGACAACTGGGTGAAAGTGTTGTGGTCAGATGAGACCAAAATGGAGCTCTTTGGCATCAACTCAACTCGCCGTGTTTGGAGAAGGAGGAATGCTGCCGATGACCCCAAGAACACCATCCCCACCATCAAAAATGGAGGTGGAAACATTATGCTTTGGGGGTGTTTTTCTGCTAAGGGGACAGGACAACTTCACCGCATCAAAGGGACGATGGACGGGGCCATGTACCGTCAAATCTTGGGTGAGAACCTCCTTCCCTCAGCCAGGGCATTGAAAATGGGTCGTGGATGGGTATTCCAGCATGACAATGACCCAAAACACACGGCCAAGGCAACAAAGGAGTGGCTCAAGAAGAAGCACATTAAGGTCCTAGGGTGGCCTAGCCAGTCTCCAGACCTTAATCCCATAGAAAATCTGTGGAGGGAGCTGAAGGTTCGAGTTGCCAAACGTCAGCCTCGATACCTGAATGACTTGGAGAAGATCTGCAAAGTGGAGGGGGACAAAATCCCTCCTGAGATGTGTACAAACCTGTTGGCCAACTACAAGAAACGTCTGAACTCTGTGATTGCCAACAAGGGTATTGCCACCAAGTACTAAGTCAATTTATAACATTTTTGAAATGTGTTTTTCTGATTTTTGTTGTTGTTATTCTGTCTCTCACTGTTCAAATAAACCTACCATTAAAATTATAGACTGATCATTTCTTTGTCATTGGGCAAACGTACAAAATCAGCAGGGGATCAAATACTTTTTTCCCTCACTGTACAAATCCAAGTTGGTGAACTTGACTCTACATTTATTTTCAGAACCCATGGGCGCTATTTTGTATTGACAATGTAAGTGGCGTTATCTTGTGTTTTGTGTTGCAACGCATGTGCTACGTTTACAAACGCAATGAACACGTGAACTGGGGCACTCGCCCTGGCTCAGCAAGCGCTCCACCTGCAGGAACGTGAGCGAGTCCCTCTCCTCCTGCAGAGCGCGCAGGCGCGTGGCTGCTGCCTGGAGCTCGCTGATCTCGCGCTCATAATGAGCGATGTTCTCCTCAATCCGGGACAGCAGCTCGCGCCCCTTCATGTCCACGTGATCCAGAGCTGCCCTCTCGTCCTCATCCAGCATCGCCCTCATGCGGGTGAACTCGCCTGAGATGCGTGCCTTGGTCTGGACCATGGAATCCTGCAAGGGGCATGCGATGAGTTCTATAAAATCATATTCCATGCTGTTAAGACCAAAGTCACATTGTTTTCCTGTTACTCCAAAACAATTTTTCCCTGCCTCCACGTGATGTCTTTGGACTCACATCCCATTGACCAAGTCGATAACTTTAGGTATCTAGGTGCTATCTTGCCCTTCACATTGATCATATCGTCAGTAAGATTAATAACAAAATCTTCTATGTAAATAAACACATTGTCTCACCTCGGCTCCATCTTGATATCGTCCAAGCCGCCATCCTCACCATCTTTGACTCCTGTGAAATCATTGACTGCCTAGCCTCTTGTTCCATTATACCACTGGGCTGTCTTCATCCTAAGATTCCTTATAAAGAAATCCGCCAAGTATGTAAGGACCTCCTAACTCCACAAATTCCCAGTCACAAACTCAATAAGTTTCCTCCCTGTTCTCTCTAAAATGACCATATGTTAAAACTAGGTTTTGCGACGCGTTCTTCCTCCTTGCTGATACTACCCCACGTTACTGGAGTGCCCTTACCTCTCAGCCTAGGCTGGAATCCCTCCCCAGCCTCCAACACGATTAGCGGGCTGCATAATGATTGAGATATGAACCAGTGCTGGACTCTACCTTCACCAACCTGCACTGACCCACGCAACTAAGCATGGCCAAATAGCCTCAATGATCAACACGATGTTGCGTAAACCTTCATCCAGAAGTGTATTGGTGAGGATCTGTAAATAATTTACCAAAACAGATAAGCACACGATTCACCTTCTTCATAGATTTGTCTCTGCACATCATCAATAAAAGTATTTTGTATACAATCTATTTGCCCCATGCTATTTTGGGACTGCGTTACTTTATCAGTACTGGCAGACCTCGCTAAATGCTCAGCATGCTTCATGAAGAAGTGAGCGCTTATCGAATCAGCGCCGAAATGGGTAATTGTACTGTTGTATATATGAGGATGTGTTCCCATCAGCGTTATTGCTTTCAGATGACCAATATACGAGGGCTTCGTTGGGGTATCGGTAAAAGCACCAATAATACAGATGGTAAACATTATTTAATGAATAAAAATAATTATAATAACCGCATTAAGTATGACATGCTGTGCATAATACTGTACTCCTGCTACCATGGCAGCAGTGGGAGATGAGGTGGTAGGATCTGCAGAGCTCCCAGTCTGGGGTCATTCTCAGAGAAGATGTCCAGGACCTCCGTGAACTTAGCGGTGACCTCAGTCTACATTTCTGTGGTGAGGTTTCTTAGACCTCTATCATGGTCGAGTGAGTTCTCACCTCGCTAACATTTAAAAAAACAAAATCGATTGTTTTAAAAATGTAATAAAAATCGTGATAAGCTAATCACGGGGGGTGGGGTCTGGTTGGCTCAGCATGCGTCGTTCTCATTGGCTGAGCGAATGATTGAGGGTGGGTACGTTTGCTCGGCCAGCACCGCTGCGTGTTCCCACTTGTAAGCGCTTTATATGAGACTACCTGTACCCGGTGAAACATTCACTGATCTAGCAGATCTTAATGAAACATTCACATATTTTTGTTATTCATATTTTTCAACAATTGCCATATGCTGGGTCATTTTCCGACACTAGATGAAGTGAATCACACGATATGACTCTTGATCGAGCAAGATATAATTGTCCTTGACTAAAAACAGACTTAGGTAAGTAAATGCATTTTTTATCAAACGTTTGACATTGTGACTTATTCATTGTAATTGAAAAAGCCAATCGTATGGGGAATTGTTAGCGTTTGAAACTGAATGTTAAATTTGTTTCGAATGGAATTAGTGGGATTCTTGGAATAAGTACCCTGTCGGAGGTTGCTCCACAAGATCATATTTGCTTCGATTATGTAAGTTTGTATTTGAGTAAGAGTAAGTCTTGTACCATTACGTAGTCTTCACAATGACATTAGGTGTCTAAGGAGCATGATAACGACTCCTGCTTTAAGTTTCAGTTCATGAGGAGGCATTTCGGTTGGAGTAAGACTTTAACAATTCTTACGGGAATGCAAGTTGATCAGCAGTATCATCACTCACAATCGTATCCACGCACTGGAAAAGCACTCAACTCCATTGTTGAGATAAAAAAAAGTCTGCGTTTGTAACACTCAGTATTGCGCTTCATTTAAGCTGTTCAGGAGTAATCGTAGAAAAGTAAATGTCACCGTATAGTTGCGCAAATGTATCTTGATTTTCTGGATAGCATTGTGAAGGTAATGTTGCTGTATCGTCTGTTTTCCACCAACAACATCCAGGAGCTATTCCACAAGTTCCTTTTCACTTTCCAGAGCTCGCAAATTCTGTTTCAGCTTCAGCACCTGTAATTCTCCAAATTGTTTACATTTAACGGTTCGATCACCCAATAATCTATCAACAGCCTGGCATACGTGTGTGCTTCATCCCAGACAATTAGTTTCAATTGGAATAGATTTGCAGCTTCGTGTTTGGCTTTATATTGCAAGTCAATGTTGCAGTTATTTTCAAAGGGATTTTAGAGACTGAATGAGCAGATCAGCCTCCAGCTAATAGTTTTGCTGGTATTCCTGTTGACGCAACTGGTGTTGCTATATTCCCTTTACCTCTAATAGTAGTGTGAAATAGTGCTGACTCTTGTACAGCAGTTGCAACTGTAGGTGGGCCGTTATCACACACGCTGTTGAGCATACATGCGTATGTGCCGGTTGGGTGGAGGAACTGGGGCATATAAGCAGCAGAGAGCGAGAGCTCCAGGCTGCCGGTTCTGGAAGTGGACTTGTCTCTTCCTCGTCACCTTTGTCGCTACCGCCTTTACCTGGGAATTGTGCGGCCGGACAGTAGTTGGCTGTCTCGATCGACGCCATCGGTGCAATGCGGCTGGGTCGTGTCTCGGCCGGGTCGTATGGCAGCATGGTCATGAGAGAGGGGGCCGGAGTTGGTGGCCTGAACACAACACCAATAAAAGGGGAGGACGGTGCCTCCTGCGACTATCTGACTGAGTGTGTGCGACGCAAGCCACCCGCACACACACAGAAGCCTCCAACAAGAAGGAAGAAGAGACCTATGACACTACACTTATAAAGAGTGATAAATGCCATTCAGGACAATAGCAAAGGATATATATATGTGCAAGGAGACAATAAAGATTCGTGGACGACATAGATCCAATGGAAAATAAGCTGCATAGCCTTGCAGTAAAGTGTTCATATGCTCTATACGTTAGGAAAGGATGCAGGACTGAGGCTTAACGTGGAAAAGACAAAGACAATGCTGTTCAGAAAGGAATACATTGAGAGAGAAGCAATAATACAAAGCAGCAGGATTGTGAATGTAAGGAATTTGTATTCCTTGGGACGTCTACTGACATGGGACAATTACTGCACTAAAGACGCAATAAGAGCGAGAATCGCAAAGGCAAAATGATTAATGGCAGGATTTAATAACATATGGAGAAGCAAGAAAATCAGCTACAAGAACAAACTGAACATCTTAAGAACATGCGTGTTCAGGACAGCTTTGCATGCTTGCGAGACTTGGACGTTAAAAAATACTGACAGACATAAGATATTGGTACTCGAAATGTATTGCTATCGAAGGATACTGCATCTAAGCTGAACCCAAAGAGTGACCAACGTATAAGTAAGAAAAATATGGCACCCAGAAGAAGATATGATGCAGCAGTGATGAGATGGAAACTGGCACTACACATATGTAGTATGGAAAACAGCAGGCAAATGAAAAGTATGTTGTTGTTCAAAAATATGGAAGGAACCGGAAAGAGAGTGAGACCTCACAGAGAATGGATTGACGACATTAAGATTGGTACCAGTAAGATGTGGCAATACTAGAGCATATTGGCACAAGACAGAGACAGGAAAGTGGAAACCAATGACGACATGGGCAGTAGACACCTACTACGGGCTATCTGCCCATGGATCGTCATGATGATCACCAGGTAGGGCAGTGGTGGTGTGGTGGTCATCAAACTGTGTGGTGAGTAATTTATGAATGGATGCTGGGCTGTCTTCACCAACCCACATTGACCAGCATGGTAAAGTATTGTTAAGCAATCTGCTAGCCTGACGGTTGTGGCAAGGCCTCAATGTTACATTGGTTTAACAAAGGTTGTAAATTATCCATAAGAGTTATTTTAGTACATGTGTAGCATAATAGTGCCAGCTGGTGGACAGTGGCAGAAACTGTGGTTGACAAACAGTACACACGCCGATGAGGGTGTGCACGGTGTGTTGGCAGAGAGGAGGAACTCGGGCAAGGGTCATGGAGGACCCCATCTGGAGGCATCTGGAACCTGCTAGCAGGTTCGAGAAGAGTGGTGCAGTCAGGGTGGAGCCAGGCCGCTCTGGGAGCATCAAAGGAGCCGAGAGCGGGGTCTCGGGGCTGCCGGTTCTGGGAGTGGACTTGTCTCGTCGTTGCTGTCATCTCATTGCCGTCGTCACTGCCGTCTTCACTAGATATTGCGCTGCTCAAAGTTGTTTGCTCAGTCGGCACGGTCAGTGTTTGACCGTTAGTGTTGTGTACAGGATAGGCTAAGCAACTGTGGAGACTGTGTGGACAAGACCGTGAAAGTTGATAAACAAAAGGTGCCTCCTACGAACCTTGTCTCAGAATCATTGACACTACAAATGCATAATGTACATACATGATGTACATCGTGTGTGTTGATTAACTGTGTATAACCCAACCAATAATATATATCAATTGTAATTTATATAAATACATGAACCCCTCCTCCATCTCCTGGTCTTCGCACCTGATTGGCTCACAAGTGATGACATCACATTTAATTATCTATTTAAAACAATTCTGGCTATGGCCTGATGAAGCTGGTTGTAACTACCGGTGAAATGTCATACTTGAATTGTAAATGTTGTGGGTTTACTGTCCAACATACCGGTTTTGCTGAACTAGTAACTAATTGGCATGTTTTGTTTACATGACAAACCTTAATAATTGGCTATGTTGGGTGGTTAGTGAGTTTAATGACACATTCATATTGTCGCGATCTAACTCTGAAAATAACTCTATTTTGGATAATGTTAGTCGCAAAAGCCCAAGTGTTATACTTGCGTAAAGCATTATTACCATCACAAGGTGACTTGATAGAGGATACAAATCAATCATTAGCAGGCCGGGGTGTAGCAATGCTCATAACACATCGCCAGGCAACTCTGTCCTGGGTTCCACACCATGCCGAGTGCAGGCCGCCTAGATTAGGATGCCTGAGATCGGCCTCAATCGTGCGCGTCCAGGTCAGCCTCAGCCTGCCCCTGGGCTACCTCCAATCCCGAGCAAGGCCGTTAATTATTGCACACAGTGCTCTGGTGGGATCATCCAACGTGTCAGCCCTGCAATGTGTCCACGAGGGCAGATCCTCCTGGCTGTGACTGCTTCAGACAGCGACTGTCACGCTGTTCATCGATGGAGTCCAGTATTTGAGATACATTCGCAGAGTGAATGTGAAGTCTCCGTCGCAAGCTACACTGGTCAAAGGCGTCCAGTTCTCTATATCAGGATATGCCCTATTCTAGGTCATATATTTAGTTAGAATGTAAATCCATACAGTTGATAACAAATAGGCTCAAACCCATTCCTTGCAGAAATATTAAAAGTACACGCAATTGCATAACTATCAGTTGCCTTATACCAGGGGTGGGGAACCTTTTTTCTGCCAAGGGCATTTGGAAATTTATAACATCATTCGCGGGCCATACAAAAGTATCAACTTAAAGATTAGCCTGTTGTATTTCGTCAAACATTTAATTAACTCACCTCTAATGTGATAGCTAGAACTGCCAAATGATTTCGCGAGCCTTATACGGCCCGCAGGCTGGACATTCCCCACCCCTGCCTTATACGCACAACACCAATATTCAGTCATTAATACATCACAATGAATGCCAACTGAAATGCAAGTAAAACAAGTTTTAACATTTCATTACGTATGCATTGTCTATTTTATACTTGCGTGTGTGATGAAATAGTTTTCCCGGCGTTCCCTATCATATCTCTTCAAGTCATCTCTTGTGTTCTAGAATTAAAGAGCTAAGATTTTCTATTATATTTTATCACAATCTTTACTTGTAAGTTTTAGTTTTTAATCCAATGCACTCTTATTTGATCAAACCCATAGAAAGTAATTCGAGTTATCCCGTACACATCTTTGCAGTGGTACTAAAAAATTAACTTGTTTGTTATAAACGTTGCATTTAAAAATCCACATTCAAGCAGCAATATACATCATGTATTGCTATTTCCAATTATACTAAAGGCTCACTTAAATCTACGGAGTTGTCCTCATAGAGTCACAGACTTCACGCAGGGTGGAGACCACGAGGTCACAGTACCCACACGTCGTACCTGCACGTCCTTGCGAGTGGACTTCATCTGTCCCACGGATGCCTCAGCTTTCTTCCTCTTCCCATCCACCGCTCGCGTCTCTTCTCCGACTCTCCTCTGTAAGAAACAAAGTCACCAGAGGGGACTCCACTCCTTGAGCGGCTCTCTCTCAGCCCCACTCCACACGGAACTCACCACAGTGACAGCTCTATAATTGCCCACCAGAAGAGTGCTCAGGGAGTCAGCCTGGACTGACTTAGCAGTCTGTAAGCAAGAAGGCGCAGTGAAGAGAGAATAATAATTTCCTGATGTTTAATTTAATGCGATGTGGAAGTCGCGAATTTGTCAGCTCGTGTCCTGGTGTTGTAGAGGCCACAGCAGGGGACAGGGACACGATCGTTCAACACAACGGCTCTTCACTTCACGTGCAACGTCCATTCACGGACTTCCTCCAGCACGGCTCACCCAAAAAAACGTCGAACCACCCTCCTCCTCCTTATACTCAAACTCCTGTCCCTTCCTTTCCCTGCCAAAACATGAATGGCGACCTTGAACTGAAGCGATCCCATTTTCACACCCTGAGGTACTCACCTTCCGTGTCTCATGCTCATCCTCCAGCGTATCGACATCATGCCCTCTATGTTCTCCGGTAATGGTACAGGCCATGCACACCAGGCTCGCGTCCTGCTTGCAGTAGAACTTGAGCTCCTCTTTGTGCTTCTTGCATCTTCTTTCCTCCAGGCTGACAATGGGAGCCACCAGGACGTGGTCCATCAACTTGGGGGTTTTCAGATGAGGTTTCAGGTGGGACTCACAGAAGGAAGTCTCACACCTGAGGCAGGTCTTCACTGCAGGAGTCTCCCCATCATCACAGCCGTCACAGAAGACAACTGTGGCCATCCTCTCTCCAACTCTGAGCTGCTCCACCAGGTTTGCGAGCGCCACGTTCCTCTTCAGCTGGGGCCGCTCAGGGAAGGCCGCTCGGCACTGCGGGCAGCTGAAGCTGCTCGCTCTCTCCCAGGCACCGTCCAGACACCGGAGGCAGAACGAGTGTCCGCAGCTCAGCGTGGAGGGGCACTCAAACGTGCCCAGGCAGATGGGGCAGCTCAGCTCACTGTCTACACAATCACTGGGAGACGTGCTCGCCATGGCCCATAACTTCACTCGGACTCAGTCGCTTGCCGCGGCTCAGGAGCTATCGCAGCGGCAGCAGCAGCTCACAAAGCGGAGACGAACAAGGAAATGACCTGACTTTACCTGCAGTTAAGTTATAAATACCTCGAGACACGCCCTGGAATGTTCCACACGGCGGCCGTTGCTCACCTGTGTAGACGTGGCGTTACAGACACGCACTGTGTTAGCTAAAACTGATTTGTGTTTAGTTTGTTGTCCTTCCCCTGCACTTCGAATTAGCACGGCTGGCTACGTATGCTGTGAAAGAAGTTCAACATACATACATAGCTTTGACTGGTCTCAAGTGATATAATATTTCTACAAACAAAACCCAGCAGCAGCATCAGCCAGGCACACAGCGATAATGGTTTGTCCCACAGGCTGATTGACCGGCTCGGGTCAGGATGTGTGCATTGCACACAGTGGAACCGCACCTTGTACAGACATTCTGATGTAAAGATTAACTTGTTTTTTTCCCATCTGTGTCTTTATCCATTTTTTTCTTGCAAGGCCTGTTTGTTTAAGCTTCGCAGTCTGTAAACGTTTTCAACCTTTATCAACTAATATTTACCTACTGGCTTCATGCATCCTCTGTTCATCTGTGAAATATGTTTTTGTTTATTTATTCCTACTACACCGTTTTATTCTGGGTGGATAGTGGTTGTATGTATGATAATCGGAGGTGTGTGGGTGAGGGGGTCAGTATGTATGTTGAATTTATTTCACAGCGTACGTAGCCACTCGTGCTAATCGAAGGTGCGAGTGGGTGGTGGTGGTGGAGGTTGAGTGAGTGGGGGGGGGGGTATTTGGTGAGAGGGGAGACAGATGGGCAGGAGGATGGCGTGAAGGGTGGACGAGCAGGAGGTGATGGAGGGAGGAAGGGTGGCTGGGAGGGCGTGCGGTTGAGTGCTTGGGTTCCTGGGTGGGTGGCCTCACGCTTTACCACAGCGAACAACCCCTGGCTAAACAAACATCGTCGTTCATTTAAGCTCGTTATCGACATGACTTTCACTGTATATTTTCCTATTATGTAAAAAGAGGTTTTAAATCTTCATAACATAAAAATGATATTTTCATCACCTATTGTTAATGTTAACATTTTACATCTTGGACTCGCTGAGTTTGGTGGGTTCTATATATATTTAAAAAAATGTATTTTACCAGGTAAGGCCCACTGAGGTATGTAGCTCTTTTCAGAAGCGACTTGGCCACAAATGATAGCTCAACGACAACGTGGTTTATTACGTTAACATTTCTAGCAGCCAAACACTCTAAACGCACGTTTCTAAGTGTGTGTGTGTGGTGGGGGGGGGGGGGAATTGGAGGACCCGGAGAGAAATCCAAGCCACCATGGAGAGAGAGACACGCAAACTCCAAGTACACGTATAGGCGTCAGGGTCGGGATCGAACCCACGCCCTCCTGTATACCAGGCGAGGTAGTTAACATCTTCCAGCCACCGCAGCGAGATGTAAATATTCGCAGCGAGATATAAAAATAATTACAGAGCAACGACAACGAACAAGGAAACGAACTGACTTCACCTGCAGCTAAATTATAAACACCACGAGACGTGCCCTGGAATGTTGTACGCGGCAGCCCGTACTCACCTGTGTAGACGTGGCGTCACATTCACACACACAGTGTCAAGGTTAAAGAGTCGCAATTGATATATTTTTACAAAACCCCCACGGTAACCATGAAAAAGGTGATGGTTTGTCTTACAGACTGGTTACACCGGCTTGGGTGAGGCTGGGGTTTTCACGGTAAACCGCACCGTGTAAATTCTTATTTAAGCTTTTAAATTGTCGGCTTTCGCGACCAAAATTCTTCATAAAACGTGTTTTTGGGTTAGATCGCATAAATATAAACGTGTCGTTAATCCGCCACCACGCGACACATCCAATGAGTAAAGTTTGTCACGTAAACAAAAATACATTTTGGCTCGGGTGAGCTGTAAGTTCGTATTTAATGTAAAAAAAAACAGATTCCCCTATAACCAGGGGGTTCAGAAACCAAAATAACAAAGAAAACAAATTTTTCTTGTTTTTTACAGTTCGGAAAGTTAAATAAAAAACAACCATCTAATTATTTCAAGAGCCGCAATGCAACTCGGTGTGAGTACGAGAGACGGTGGTGTTGGTGATAAATAAAAACGTCTCACGAAGCAGCCGTCCCTCAAAGAGCCGCACGCCGCTTCTGAGCCGCAGGTGGCAGACCCCGTGCCCTGAATCAACTGGCGTGGCCGGCAGTAATAATAATTTAATAAATATAATTTAATTGGACATTCATAAAAATGACAAAGATTTAGCGATTTTTTTTTTACATTTTTACCTATTAACATCTTAATTATTAAATAAATTTCCTACTGACACTTAAATAATAAAACAATAATGTTGTAATACGTTGATGATAATGCAAAATAATAAATTATTGATGATTAAATAATTTTTCGGTAATGGTAATTTAATAATATAATTTATATTTAAATTTACTATAAACGCCCTTTTACAATTGCTCTCGGGGTGCTATGCATGGTAGGGCAGAAAATAGTAAACATCACCCAAGGAAAGAAGTGAGAAGGACATTTGAACATCACCAAAGGGAGAAAGACATTTTAAACAGAGACGGCTTTAGTGGAGATGTGAAGATGAGCAGCGTCTCGGTAGTCCCCTTGACCTCGAAGGGCAACGAGTTGCAGAGTTTAGGTGCCGCGATTGCCAAGGCACCGTCACCCCCCCTCCCCCCCCCCCCCCCCCCCCGTGTGTAGCCTAGAGACCGTGGGACGGTGAGCAATGCATAAGCTGAGGATCTTGACGATCTCGATGCAATATTCGTGGCTGAAGGAGGTCATGGATGTAGGGAGGAGCAAGTCCATTTAAGGCGAGGGCGAGTCGGTTGGCGCTGCCTTTTTCACGTTTGTGTTATTGCCTCTTCCTTCTGCGAGGATCTGTGTTTATGCTTTGCAGTTGTTTCTTGGTCTCAATCTCTCCTTCTGAAAATCTGAGAAACGGGTTTATTCCTGGGGGAGATGTTCTCCTTGGTGCATGGCCGATGGTGAGCAGTGTGTCTCGATGGTGATTGATGTGTAGATGGTGAGTGGTGTATGGATGGGGAGTGGTGAGTAGTGTGTGAATATCAGATGGTGAGTAATGTGTGGATATGGTGTGTTGAGTAGTGTGTGGATGGATGTTGAGTGGTGAGTAGTGTGCGCATGTTAGATGGTGAGTAGTGTGTGTGGATATCGGGTGGTGAGTAGTGTGTAGATGATCAGTAGTGTGTAGATGATGAGTGGTGAATATTTTGTATGAAGGCTCACAGACAAGAAACAAGGATTTTTAATTACTTTACACGGGGTTACAAACCTCACGAGGCACCCCATGGAATGTGCTCAGATGTTTGAGGAATGTAAAAACAAGCCCAGCATCGCCGTTGGCTTTAACCAGTGCTAACAATGGACTTTGTAATAACATGATCACAATCGTGAGACAATTTCAACCGAGAAAGATGGATTCTGACTTAGTAATAATTGGAAAGATGTTATAAACCATTTCGGTTCTTAATGGATTGTATTTTACGGTGACCTTCAGACCGCAGTCCATTCGCTGGCACTGTCTCTTAATACCTCTCACACCACGGTTAATGGTATGGTTTATAGCATGTGGTATAATAATAAATAGTATAACATTGTAATGTTTAACATAATTCATAAGACAATATATAGTATCGTAATTGCATAGTGAATATAGAGCAGTGTGGTATATAGTTGGGTTCATAGAATAAGATGGTGTAATGTTAAAAGTCTAATATTTTATAGTCGAAAGTATAGGGTAGTGTAAAGTAACGCATTGTATAATTCAAAGGTGGAATTTGTCTATGGATATATTATACCATGTAGTTTAAATTGGAAGGTATAATATTGTATTGTATAGTAGTCCAGTTTATTGTATAGTTATAATGCAACACAAGACAGAGCAGCGCACCTTGGCTGTTCTGCTTTTGTATTTTTCCGTGTGCCCAGCCGCCACCCTCCTCCGCTCCAGAGGTGGGGCTGGGTAACATGCTAATTCATATGTTAATTCCGCCCACACAGCTTAAAAGACGCGGTCCATGCTTAGCAGTGTTCACTCAAGCGCTGTCTTCTGGACAGACCTGTTTAGTCACCTGAAGAAGGCTACTTGTGTTGTGGCCGGAACGCCGTGAGAATTTGATTTTATTTTGTTTTATTTTTATTATGTTATTTCCATTCTACGTGACTTTACCGAAAGAACCAAGAAGACACAATCGTGAAAATAACACATCCTGAGATGCGGGCTTTTGATTCCAAGCAGTCGCCTGTGATTAAACGCGGTTCTCCAGTGGAACGAGGTTTTGGTTTAAGGTTAAAAAGTCGCAATTGATATATTTTTTACAAAAACCCCACGGTAACCATGACAAAGGTGATAGTTTGTCCTACAGACCGTACACCAGATATGGTGTGGCTGGGGTTTCCAACTGTAAACCGCACCGTGTAAATTCTTATTCAAGATTTTTAATTAAAAGTAGGCTTTCGCGACCAATATTATCCATAAAACGTGTTGTTGGGTTAGAGCGCCTAAATATAAGTGTCGTCAAACCCGCCACCACCCGACACAATCAACAAATAAGGTTGGTCACGTAAATAAAAAAAACATTCCCGCTAGGGTGAGTCTGTGCATGTTGTCCAGCAAACCACACAGCTAGCAGTTCGTATTCAAGGTCTACCAAAAAAAAAACTATTCCCCTCAACCAGGGGGTTCAGAAACCAAAACTAGGAGAGACATTTTTTCGTTGTTTTTTAGAAACTCGTAAGTAAAATAAAAACCAAACAACTCATTATTTCAAGAGCCGCAATGCAACGTGGTGCGAGTACGAGAGACGGTGGTTGTGGTCCTTGATAAATAAAAACGTGGTGTGAGTACGAGAGATGGTGCTGGTGGTGGTCCTTGATAAATAAAAACGTGGTGTAAGTACGAGAGATGGTGCTGGTGGTGGTCCTTGATAAATAAAACGTGGTGTGAGTACGAGAGATGGTGCTGGTGGGGGTCCTTGATTAATTAAAACGTGGTGTGAGTGCGAGAGATGGTGCTGGTCCTTGATCAATAAGAACGTGGTGTAAGTACGAGAGACCGTGCTGCTGGTGGTGGTAGTCCTTGATAAATAAGAACGTGGTGTGAGTACGAGAGACAGTGCTGGTGGTGGTGGTCCTTGATCAATAAAAACGTGGTGTGAGTACGAGAGATGGTGCTGGTGGTGGTCCTTGATCAATAAAAACGTGGTGTAAGTACGAGAGACGGTGCTGGTGGTGGTCCTTGATAAATAAGAACGTGGTGTGAGTACGAGAGACGGTGGTGGTAATCCTTGATAAGTTGTTTCTTGGTCTCATTCTCTCATTCTGAAAATCTGAGAAACGGGTTTATTCCTGGGGGAGATGTTCTCCCTGGTGCATGGCCGATGGTGAGCAGTGTGTGTCGATAGTGAGTGGTGTGTGGATGGTGAGTGGTGTATGGATGGTGAGTGGTGAGTAGTGTGTGAATACGTGGTGAGTAATGTGTGGGTGGTGAGTGGTGAGTAGTGTGTGAATATCAGGTGGTGAGTAATGTGTGGATGGTGAGTGGTGAGTAGTGTGTGGATA